GAAGAGTGCGCAATACAGAAGAGACGCAGACAGTCCGCAACTGCGTATGGTCCATGAGTCGTTGAGTCATCCTTATATGTAAAAAAAGAACATAGTCAAACATTTTATAATTATCAACTCTTAAGCTACCCGAGAAATTTCTAAGACAATCGAGTAAAATTTCCTTTTCTGCATCTAAAAAACTGCAATTTTGCGATTAGACAGATTATGATAGATGTCCAGAGGAACTACGATTTGGAAAATTTAGAAAATCTTGTAAAAAAAGTGACATATGACAATTGCTTCTCTTAATAGTTTTTAAATAGCGAAGGGAAACAGTCAACCATAAAATAATCAATAAATCAATATACAGTAGGAGGCAGAAGGAAATTTGCGTTTTCCTTTGGTACACTTTGCGACATTTCATCGGATGTTGGCGAAACGGACCTGGAAAAAGAATGTTTTAGAAAATAAAAAAATGAAGTGACTCATGTTCTACCTTCGACTACTGCCATCCATAATGCTTCCGTCGGAACTGACGTCGACAGACGGTCGGTTGCGGAATGCATTACTAGTTTTACGCTGTCGTCTTAGCTCTGCATAATAGCCATCACGTACAGCTGAGAAGACGAATGTGGTCAGAATGGACCTGAAATTGCCAAATGGCATGCTAGAATTCATGAGGAAATTCTGCAGAACTTCCGCACAGCTTTGCAACTTTCGGAAGTTCCCGAAAAAACACCTACCATGAACCAGCCGTTTCACTAGGCGTATGCGTGGCTTGATCTAAGAATGTGCATTCCGTGGTCACCGCATCGGCTGTGCATGCAAAGAAATCAGGCTTGAATCCGAATGATCGGAATGGAACATGCGATGCACCGAACTCTTCGGATAACTGCAATGAAAAGAATTTGGCATGAAAATTCGGAAGAATAAGCCAGAAATTGACAAGTAAATTCATAAAATTTTGCAATAAGCGATTTAAAATGCACTGAAAACTCATCAGCCAATTTGACTGCGACTAGCAACTCAATGCTATTGATTATTTGCGAAAACTGGTCCCCAAGCTGGTGGAGGAGTTGCATCTATGATGACAACTATTTCATAAGTAGTTCGCACAAAACTAAGAATTTCTTAAATTTCTACAAAACTTTTTTCTTGTATGAAACATGCATAATTGATTTTTTCGCGAAAACTGCTCCTCAGACAAGCTACATATGTAGCAGCGTTGCATAGCGATTGAATTGCGCCTTTATTTTATTTACTTTGCACAGACTGAAGAATCTGCATCAGTTTTCGCAAATATGTAGTGCGTGAACAAAGCGATGGGGACCAGTTTTCGTTTACTCTAATTTGTG